TAGTATAGTATCATGTATATTGTACTACTGTTTTTCAAAATTGGATGAATAAACGCAACTTTTGCAGTCTGATTAGAGGCAAAAAAAAAAAATAATAATTTAAAATAACTAGTATTAAAAAATAAAAAAATTTCAATAATAAATTGCTTTTTATAATTTTGTAAGCATTAATTATAAATTAAAAATACTGTATTTATTAAAAATGTTAAGTTAAAATTATAATAAAATCACAGTTCTAAATATAATAATTATATAATTCTAAAAAATTTCCTTATTTGGCAACAGCTCTCTCAAGAATCTTTTCAACCTTAAAGTATAAATTTTCTCTAAATAACTTCCATAATGGAGCACTCCACCACTAACAACAACAAAAAACATACAAAATTTCGGACGTAATACTAATTCGAGCTAACTTTGCTCTATACAACCCCTTATAATTTTTAATCGAACCCAGTAGCAATGTAAGGCTCGACCTAGGTACGTTAAATTTTTTGCTATATAATAGTAAGCAGAATTCGTTACCCACAGTTAAGGTGCGAAAAAATACTGACATATCTAAACATGTGGATGGATGAACATTTTTACAGTTATTGATTAGTGAACGAAAAATCGAAATATAGAATATCATAATATCACCGGAAATAAGATGAATTTATGGGATAGCAATGCGAATAAATAAATGGACAATGTAGAACGGCATACACAGGATATAATTGCAAGTCGAAATTTCAAAATCTCATGAGGGTCATAATGTAAGTTTAATAATAGACTGGATTAAAACATTATAATATCATTTAATACCAACCATAATTCATATCAGTTAATGTATCAATATATGGCTGGAAATAAATCTGGGCGACGAAGAAGAGCTGGTGAACAATATCTTGAGGAATTTCGAATTCGCTTCTGGGAGAGTTCACGTAATTTAAAATAAAACATTAAAATTATGCGTCATATATTAGCGGAGCAAACATAGTCACAAAGTGACTGCTTAACAGCAAAGTACTATTTTCTTGATGGTACGATACAGAAACGCCATTTGATGTGGTTCATAATACAAACGTTGCCACAAGACGTGCTCAAGAAAGGTGCCGTAACCGTACTCCGCCACCAACTAATGATCAATGCTAAGTGCGAGTCGTTGTGGATCTTCCGCAGGTCAAAGGGAGAATAGAAATTTAGATAATACGACATACTCATCTTCATCTCAGCCCTTAAATGAGAATTAAATTTCGTTTAATTACTGTATCTGCGAAAAATAAAAAGCCTACGCGTCGCGCTATAACGATCAAAAAAATTGGCACGTGATCTTATATTTATGCGATAATCTAATCATTGAGTGCTAAAAATGGTTTTTTGGCATGTTTCTTTATCCGATCATATTCTCTTGACTTGACAGAAAAAATAAAATGTTCCCAGTGAAAAAGGAGTGATGACAGTTCGGAATAAAAGATATGTGAAAAATTGAACTGTCTTTTACTTTTCTAAAGGATGCCGGAATCTGCTGTAGTTGCTGTCGTTATCAAGTACTCGAATTACATAAAAGGGAAGATATTTGAGGTGGATGTTGTTGAGCTATTAAAGAGAATGAGCCTTAACGTTAAGCATGTAGGGTGAGTTTTCTTTCTCATTGAGTATTTGTCGAGTTATCGTGTATCCGAAGGTACGCTGCCACTAGGTGTAAAATCGAATAGAATTGAAAGCGCATCGTGGCCACCGTTATATAATGGTGAACGTTCTTCTGTTCGTATCCGAAAAGCTACCTCTATAATATAGTAAGGCCGGGTTTCGCACTTCGGGGCGAGTGGTGAATAGGATACACGCTAATTACTGAAGGCACATCACCGTAGAATATTCCGGCGTGCGTTCTTTAATTGATAATGATGATGAAGCATTTAGTCACTTTTTGTTAATTGATAGGGGGCGTAACGACGGAGGGATAGATATAATTTGTGAAATAAGATGGATCCCGATCTTCATCCAATGCAAGAATTGGGATATCCAAATAGGTAAGTTTTAACGTTAGTTCATGTTTGATTCAAAGAACTATATTAGTAGAAGTAATATAGGACCCTCCACCGTTCGTGAATTGAGAGGTGTGGTATGTCAAAGAGATCCGGGTACAATCGGTATCCTTGTCTCCCCCCGACTTAATTTTACAGATTTCGCGATAAATGAAGCCAAGTCATCTAGGTTTTCCATCATACTTACTGATATATTTCATCTCCCTATAATTATCCTTAATCTCGCCGTTGATTCTCTCCAACAAAGACCTTTCGACTTTTCCTTTTATAATACCGTTGTAAATCATTAATATCGCCGTATATACACTTTCCTTTACTCTTATACGAATATTTGGTGAAGCTATTTTTACTATCCTGTATTTTTTATTATTTCTATATGCACCGTCTCCCAAAAAAGAACGCAACATTTAACGTAGATCTTTGATCACTTAAATTTTGATCAGATCAGATCAAATCATGGCGAAATTAATATTATATACAGTGTATCGTTTATTCTAATCAGTGTATACAGTAGAAAATGATTGAAATAATAAAAAAATTTTTTGTGATATAATTAATAAATATTTATTGCTGTGTGACTTTTGGTATTTTTTTGTAAAAATATAAAAATGCAAGAATTCATTCAAAGTTTCTTATAAATCAAATATCCTTAAGACAACTATTTATAGAAGATTATAGTTTATGTCAGGCTGTTGTCAAAATTGATAACAATATTCATTATTCCATTATATTTAAATTTATATCTTGAAATAAACAAATTAGAAAAGAAACCTATTTCTGATTATATATCTAAACTTATTCTATATAAGAAATGTATTATTATTCAAAAAATTTTAAAAAAAGAATACAAATAGTTATGGATATATATAGATCTTTAATAAATATGAAAAAATTAATGTTAGTGTTAGCTAAAGATGGGTCCCTAAATTAAAGGCAAGAATATAATTCAAATGTCCCTCACTATTAAAAAAAATTTTTTTTAAATATAAGATCAAAAAAAACTACCTACAAAGGTTTTTTGCAATTTAGGACACTTGATCCAAGTGTTTTTTGAATTATGTCCCTATTAA